CCAGTGGAGTATCTTAGACGGCTGCTCACAGGCTTTTAAGACCCCAGACACTACTCACCAAGGTAGAATGTAGAACATTGTCTTTATAAACAGTGTTATGCCAATTGAGCTAGATGTTCCCTGAGAACATGGTCCCCACAGCCCTCCGCCCAGCAGTTCAGTCCCTCAGGGACTCTGTGGAGCTTCCATGACCTTCCCTTGTACAAGTTGTGTAGCCTTGGTTTTTTGAAAGTACTACCTGTTTTCCTTTAATAACATTTATCTCTCTGTGTTGTCAGAGTGTAAGTTTCTTGGGGTGAGGAATATCTTTTATTCCTCCCTGATTTCCCATCACCTGTCATCGTCCTGGGGCATAGTAAACTCACAACAAATATACCAAGGAAGAATGGGCCTATGAGCAGCTTGTAAGCATAAGAGTTACTCTTATAAACATAAGGGATTACTATAATTCAGTGTATGGTAGCAATGCATTCCTTCATTTATTCAGTCCTTTTATTTATGTGGCTGAAGCAGGGTTTACAGGAATGAAAATAAGTCAGGATTGTTAAGGAGTTTGAGCTTGTCCGTCATGCCACGGGAACCCCTTCTGCGTGTTGTGTAGGCAGTATGAACGGACAGTGTGGGGACGGCCTGGAACCGAGAGGGTGCAGTGAGATCACGGGGGTGTTGCAGAGTTCCAGCAAACCTGCAGGCTGGAAATGAGACGGTGGCAGGGGTTAGAGAGAAGAGGAAAATGTTAGACTTTTACGAGGTAGAATAGATAGGTTTTGGTGGTACAGGAAGGAGGGATAAGGGATAGGGAAGAGCTAGAGTGAATGAATGAAGTTTCCAGCTTGAGAAACAGAGACTGTTTATCACGATCCAGGTATAGCTCAGTTAATGCTTGTAACTCTTGTCAAACGTGAATGTTTCCTGAGTGCTAGCAAAGAAATGCTTGATACAGTTTGCCTCAGTTGAAGTCTGTTTTGTGGTGTACAGAGGTAGTTTGGTTGCATAGTAATAAATGCAAATACCCCTGAAACTATTGCCCTGAGATAATCTTTAAGCCTTAAACCGAAAATGTCCCCTGAAGTCTTCTTAAAACCAAACAATAGTTTAGCTAAACTAGTAAAACAAATGTCTGCCTTGAGCATTATGGTCTTTTAGGAACTATCTGTATGGGATCAAATTGACAACAGCAACTGGAACGATTAGATGGGAACCTTAGCGGGCGGTGAGTTTATGTTAATGGGGGAGGAACAACTCAGAAAAGGAGGGCGAGAATGGTGGCTCAAATCGAAGGATATGATCAATGTCACTGAATGGTACGAGTAGAAACTGTTGAATTGGTGTATGTTTTGCTGTGTATATTCTCAGCAACAACAAAAAAATAGAACTTTAAAAAAAGAAATGCAAATAACTTTCTAAAGAAATTTTTTATTCTATTTGTGACTTTGGTTCAAACACTGTAAAAACTTGATTGGTAGAATGGAATTCTGAGTCCTTTGAAAAAAAGGAGTTGTTTCTTAAAGATTTAAAAAATAAAATGGTTTCTAAACCTTGCCTGAAAGCAGAAGAAACTGCCTCATAACTTCTTGAGTGTCCTCTACCCTGGGTCTGCATGCACCGCCCAGTCATCGTTATGCTTATCGACGGAAGCCCATTCCAGTGTTCGACTCTACTTGTGGTCCACACTCCATTACAGAATCAAAGCTGATTGTCACAGGTTCCAATGTCTGTAGAATATCCACTATCCTCACTAAGCGACTTGGCCACTGTGGTAGGGCTAGAGCTAAGTTCAGAGGAAGCGTGTTCTAATGAACATTATGTACTGAGGGGCTGCCACGTCAGAGACTCTGAGGAAGCCATGGTTCCTGCCTTCTTGAAACATCCCATCAGGTAGGGGATGACCAGTCATTGACACAAATGATTAATTAAAGGCCAGAAGTAATATGCACATTCAGGAGATTCTATACTGTGTCTTTCATCTTCTGGATTCATCTTGTGTGTCTGTCTGCACACACACACACACACACACACACATACATATACATATGCATATGCGTTTTTTAATTTCTTTCTTGAAATCATGACTTTGGAATTTGGAAGAGGCAGGTTGGTTCATATGTTCTGCTTGTAGATCTCTGCCTGCTGCTTCGTGATCTTGAAGCCTCTTGTTCCTCCTTTAAGATTGCTGAAAAAGAAAGTCTGCAGAAAAACTGCCAGGACAGGACTAAGTGCTGCTGGATGTGCTTTCTTCATTTGTTGCCTGCTTGCCCTTTGCAAAGAGAACTGAGGGTTTTAGGGAGCAGACAGGCTCTACATTGTAACGTAGCTGACAAATGCAAGCTTGATCAAAGTAACAAGCTCCTTACCTTGATGTTGAGGCTATGAGACTAGACACTTGACCCTCGCGTTAAACTTGGATGCTTATTAATAATGAATGTATTTTGCGATTTCAGATTGATGAGTGTGAAAAGAGAAAGAGGGAAGAGTATGAAAGTCAGAGCAATCCTGTTTTTAGGAGATACTTAAATAAGATTTTAATTGAAGCCTCGAAGCTTGGACTTGTGAGTATTTGGTGGTGTGATACTAATTAGTGTGGTGGATATTTTCATTTTTTATTAATTTCAAATCATATGAAGCAGTGATAAAGCATCATTAAAGGGAACAGAGGATACCTGATTCACCTTTTTACCAAAAGCTAACCATACAGGGTTAAAGAGAGCAGCCTGCTTTCCAGTGGTTTGGTGGAAAGCAAGTGCTGTCATTTGTGGGGATTTAGTTATTCATCTCTGGGCACCCTGTACCACTTAGCTGAGGATTTGTTTTAAAAGTGCTATTTTGAGCTTTACCAGGGAAATTCTATCCTGACCCTTACTTCTTGTTTTCTACCATTTCTGCAATTTCTTAGTCATATGATAGAAAGCCAAACCCGTTGCTGTCGAGTCGATTTTGACTCATAGCGACCCTGTAGGACAGAGTAGAACTGCCCCCATAGGGTTTCCAAAGAGTGGCTAGTGGATTCGAACTGTGCCATCAGGGCTCCAGTCATATGATATAAGATCATTATTATACTGAGGAAGAGAAAAATGTGTTTTAAGTAGTTTTTTCCCCTTGTGCTTTACTGTGTGGTAAGTGCTGCTTTATTGAATTGTATTTTGTGCACGTCTTATTCATAGTCAATGTTAAAATCCCATTTTTAGAGTCATGGCTTTCACTCTGGGGAGTCAAAACATCAGGAAAACTTATAATTTAGTAACTTGTAATTCATACTGCTTATAAAGCTTGTTTAAAAGTGCACGCACATTTTTCCTATTGTGTGTGCCACCAGAATTGGTCTGGTGAGCAGGAGGCCAGACTCTGTGTTTCGGTCTGACCATCAGCCCAGTCACCAGAAACAGTTACAGGCAGAGCCTGAAAGTGCAAGGGGCTTCCAGCAGGACAGGCTGGCTGAGACTGCCGGACTGTTCTCCTGGGATGGTGGGAAGGGACCGAAGGGGAAGAGGTAGATGCTAGACAGATGAATAGTTTATTAACACCACCCTACTTTGGAAGTGTAAAAGCATGGATATTCTCATATGTACATCCTTCACTTTGAGTCTTAATTGTGTACAAGGTGGAAAAGAACCAGTTTTATAGATGAGGGAACATATGGAGCCAAAAAGTACTTAAGATGGAGATAAACCAAAACCCATTGCCATGGAGTCAGTGAGAAGATAGGGATGCTTGGGAATATTCACCTCCTGATTAAAAAATATATGTATTAATGTTAGTGATTGCTTTTCATGCTTAATGATGACTTGTGATGTTACATGACCACTTTGTTTTTTTATTTTATATTTACTTTTTTATGTAAATATTTGCATTTACTCTTAAAAAGAAAAAAAGAATTTTCTCTTATTTGTATCAACTGATTAATGAATGTAAAAAGTTGTTTAATGTGATTTTGCTAAGCCAAGCTCACTCTAATAAAAATAGTTTAAATGTGCATATTCATGGAAACCCATATTTTGCTGCTTTTTGAAATCTTTTTATTTTTCTTGTTTGTACTACTGTAAATTTTAAGCTATTTGAAAGTATCAGTAAAGAGAAAATCATAAACTTAGTAATAAAATACTTTTAGTAAAATTTACAGTATCTTACTTACATAGAACTTTACAATTTAAAAAATGCTTTTCATGTGTATTATCTTTGGTTTTTATGTCAGCCTGTGAGACAGACAAGTGAATACTATTACTCTTATTTTATGTGGATGAAATACCGCAAACTAATTATTTGTTTAGTTCCAAATGACTTTCATCTAGAAACGTTTCTCTGACTAATGTAATGATAAAATTCTCTTTTTCTCTTGCTTGTTTTTGGTAAACTTGATTCAGCCTGACGAGAACAGGGGTGATATGCATTATGATGCCGAGATCATCCTGAAAAGACAGACCTTGTTAGAAATACAGAAGTTTCTCAATGGAGAGAACTGGAAGTCTGGAGCCTTGGATGATGCACTAAGTAATATTTTAATTAATTTTAAGTTTCATGATTTTGAAACATGGAAGTGGCAATTTGAAGATTACTTTGGAGTGGATCCATATGATGTGTTCATGGTAAGATGAGACGAGGGGACATGATTACGTTTCCTTTTTGAAAATTCTTTCAAAACTCCACCATAATTATGTTAAGAATCTGTGTTGAATTGATTGTACTGCAGTGATGAACATGCAGTAAAATTGTGCAGAGGATTTTGTGGGTTTGAGTCCAGTTTTTTGGTCTTTACTACCCATTAGCGTTTTCTTGTGGGGAGGGGAGGACAGCTTGGCAGTGACTCTCACTTGTGCTTCTCTCTGTTTTCCAGGTGCTTCTGTGTCTGCTCTGTATCGTGGTATTAGTGGCCACTGAGCTGTGGACCTATGTTCGTTGGTACACCCAGTTGAGACGTGTTTTGTTCATCAGTTTCCTCATCAGTTTGGGATGGAATTGGATATATTTATACAAGGTATTAAGTAGATGAAAGGTTTTTAAATTTTAAAATGTTAAGTATTCATAATAAAAGCAGACTAATCCATTTAGAGCAGTTTTGCCCCCAGGTGTGGGTTGGGGGTCGTGGGGGGAGGAAGTTGGCAGCTACTCAGTTGTATGTTGCTTTTTGGGTGTTGGACCAGTCAGTAGGAGGGCAGTGCTGTCTTAATTTTCAGAACTCATTTCCTGCTGAGTGGTGTCTGGGCAGCTAAGTCAGAATAGAGTTGGATAGACATATTTTTAAAAATTCTTATGTTGGTAATTTTTTGGGTGTGTCCTTTTAGTCTTTGCTAAAAACGATACCATAATATCATTTTTAAAAAATTTAGATTTTTTTTTTTTGTGAATGCAAAAGTGGTATATTCATGGTAGAGAATTTAGAAAAAACAGAAAGATACAAAGAAATTAATTTTTTAAAATCACTATAATTTTATCACCTAGATATAATCACTGTCGATATTTTGCCTTATTTCTGCCCAATCTTTTTTCTAAATTGTAATTATCTTACAAAATTGGGATCTTAATAAAATCTTGTGGGAGACCGCATTCGATTTCCAGTCAGTGCACCTGTAGGAAGAAAGGCCTGGCAATCTACTTCTGAAAATCAGCCACTGAAAACTCTGTGGATCACAACGGGACCATTATGCAGGGGTTGCCATGAGTCGGGGGCTGACTTGATGGCAGCTAACAACAACAACAAAATATAAAAATTTGAGGGGAACGCTACTATCCTGTCAGAATAACTATCTTTATTGTGCCAAGATGGAACCATTTCTAAAAGAGTGAGTCAGGTAGCCACATATTTTATCCGATAAAAAAAAATCATATTTCCTTAAACTTCTGCTGTAAGTTCTAGAGCTTCTAGAAGTAATCATTTCCAAATTAAACACCTAATTTCTACGTGGCAGGAAGTTGGTTTGGTTGAATATTGTTACCACAGTGCTTTCCTGCCCAAACTCTGATATATAAAAGTAATAGATTATATTAGCCATTTGGACTGAAAAACCATCCAAACCAAGACACTATTTCATCATGAACTGTAAAAAAATAAGTAGTCATTTAATATGTATAGCTATATTTTTGGGCATGGTATGAACTATATTTGAACCATATTATAATTTTTTAAAACAGTCTTTTCAGTAAAAAGGTTTTCCTTCATCATCATAGTTACCTACAAAGAAGGCAGTTACAGTTAGTACTTTATCCTTCATTGTTCTGATAAGATTGTTTTGCCATGAGCTATAAAGAGCTATTCTTTAAAAATTATATATGTATTTTTTTTTTTTCTATTAACATTTTTTAACAATCTGTCTTGGGTGAATGGTGAAGGCATGCTTGAACTAGAGTTGTCTGGATGTGCAGGCGTAGCCTGCCTTGTTAGCAGCCTTTCATATTTCCCCTTTGGTGTTGGTCAGCTAGCATTTGCACAGCATCAGGCCGAAGTTGCCAAGATGGAACCATTAGTCAGTGCGTGTGCTGAGAAGATGGACTGGGCTGGAAGTTTTTTTGGTAAGGTATTTGTTCACTTGGTCTTATTTTGAGTAGAATATCTGGGAATGAGAGAAGATAATAGTAATTACAAAGAAAATGATAAACTGCCAGTAACAGTCTTTACATGGTTGAATCTTGAATATCAAAAGAGTATACAAAATTACTGATCGTTTTGATCAAAGATTCTATAGAATAATCCTGATCAAAAAGGAAAGAATGTGGAACAGAATTTCAAATTCTCGATGGAAGCCAGACTTTTCTGGGGCATTGAGGCTGGATGAACCTCTGAAACTATTGCCCTGAGATAATCTTTAAGCTTTTAAATCTTAAACCAAAACTATCCCTTGAAGTCTTCTTTGAACCAAAAAATAATTTGTCTTAATAAGTAACGTATGTCTGCCTTGAGCACTGTGCTCTTTTAAAGACTTTTCTATGCGAAATAAAATTGACAACAGCAACTCGAAAGGTTAGATGAGAAGCTTAGGGGGCAGTGAATTTAAGTTAATGGTGGTGGAACAATCTGGAGAAAGATGGTAAGAATGTTTGCACAACTTAAAGAATGTAATCAGTGTCACTGAGTTGTACATGTAGAAATTGTCATGGTATATGACTATATTTTCACGAAAAAAAAATATGCTAGAAAAATCTTAGGTTTAAGACTAATGACTTGTTTTCATGTAAAGTCACAGGGAAGGAGTAGCAATCACATGTATGCTGTCTGATACTACCTCTTTCCCTGTATTAGACTGTAAAGGATCACATGCTCATTTTGGTTCCCCTAGTCCCTAGCACACTGCTACACATTCTAGGTCCTCAACAGAAGTTTGTCAAAAAAGAGAATGCATGTATGTATGAATTAACATTGATTTTAGATTTAATCTCCTTATATTATGATATCTTGTATTTAAATTTATTTTAATCTTTTTTTTTTTAAGCTAAGGGGAAACTTATTTTCTTGGTTTTTTCTTACATATTTTACAAACTTCTCCCTAACGTTGACTGCCTTTAGTTGTGTATACCTAGCATTGTGATGGTTTAATATTCAAAGGCAGTTTATAAATGCAAGTCCACAATGTCCTAGAGTAGAATCTCAGCAGATTCTACAAATCAGGGCATCCAAAATGAATATTTCTTAAAAATAGTTATGGAAACTAAACCAATCCAGCCTTTCTTCTGGCTTCAGGGGACAACGAAGGATCTTCTCTAGTTAGGCTAGTTTCCAAATGTAGATAAATTGGATTTAGAAAACTCAGATGAACTGATATTCTATTTTCTTTGTGAAATCAATTAAGAACTGACTTTTTTTTCAGTTGAAATTTTATTGAGATAATTGTACATTCATAGGTGGTTGTAAGAAATATTACAGAGAGATTCCTGCATACCCTTTACCCGATTTCCCCCAGTGGTAACATCTTGCGTAATTATACTAATACAATATCACAACCAGGACGTTGACTTTGATACATTCTACCAATCTTATTCAGATTTCCCCAGTTTTACTTGTATTCATTTATGTGCGTAAAGACTGATTTTAATTATTTAACTACCTTTTAGAAATCTTCATAAAATGTTTTATCTGCGTAAGGATTGTATAATTTGAATAGATTTTTAAAATAAATGTATGATTTTGGACATAAAATTAAAAATCAGCATTAGTGTTTGTAGAACTACTTACAATTGATTGGTAGGTGGGGGAAGAGGGACAAAACCAAAATATCATCTTGTTTGGGAATGAAATACAACTTTTAAAAAAAAATGATTCAGTATTTTCTGTCTGTTTCCCTAAATAGAATGGTTTAGAAGTAAATGGAGCTTTCAAGATGACCCATGCCAAAAATACTACGAGCTCATATTAGTCAACCCTATTTGGTTGGTTCCACCAACAAAGGTATAGAATACATTTTGTAAACTTGTACAAAGTTGAAAATCTCTGTGTATTTATAAAAAATTACTACATTTTTTAGAGTAAATAATACACCTTTTTTTCAGTAAAAAAATTTGAATATCACAGTTATTTTTCACATTAAAACTGGCATATGATAGCCTTTAAATTTATGTAGCATGATTCCAGCCTCAGTGATAGTGAATTTTGGCTCATTCTAGGTGCCTCAATCCTTTGAGGAAAAAATTGAGTTGCTTCTATCTTTTGTTTTAGGCCCTGGCAGTTACATTCACCAACTTTGTAACAGAGCCATTGAAGCACATTGGAAAAGGGACTGGTGAATTTATCAGAGGGCTCATGAAGGAGATTCCAGTGTTACTGCACATTCCGCTGCTGATAATTATGGCATTAGCCGTCCTGGTGAGTGTATAGCACTATTGACATTTAACAGGACTTACAGAAAAGCAATGTTTATTAGATTTCTTTGACGTTTTAAGTCAGCCTAAATCATGCTTTATGGTATAAGAAGGTGATAAATTTTAAGTGTTACAGATTTATTTATATTTACATGCATATTGGAGACTTGGTGGCGCAGTGGTTAAGAGCTATGGCGTGCTACGCCGTGCTATGGCTGCTAATCAAAAAAGGTCAGCCATTTGAATCCACCAGCCGCTCCTAGGAAATCCTGTGGGGCAGTTCTGCTCTGCCCTATAGGGTCTCTATGAGTTGAAATTGACTCGAGGGCAACGTGTTTACATGCATAGTAGGGAGCCCTGGTGGCACGGTGGTTAAGTGCTCGGTTGCGAACCGAAAGTTCAGCGGTTCGAAGCCACCAGCCGCTCCGCAGGAGAAAGATGTAGTGGTCTGCTTCTGTAAAGATTACAGCCTAGGAAACCCTATGGGGCAGTTCTACTTTGTCCTATAGGGTCATTATGAGTCGGAATTGAAGGCAGTGAGTTTGGTTTTGGTTTGGATATGCATATTCCTTTAAGCAGGGAAGTGGTTCTCCAGTATGTAGATGTCATAGCAGTGATTTAGAATAATAACCTTTTAAAATTTGCTCTCTAAACTTGGTAAATTCCCTTGAGAAAGGGAAACCTTATTTCAACCGAGTTTTTGCAGTACTGGGAAGGGAAGGGCATTGGGTTAGCACAGAATCATAAAGGGAAGTGGAAGAAGGTGGGTGGGGCACTGACAGGCAGTTTGGGGATCCAGGAGCAGACATTTATTACTCAACATTCATTCATGGTCTGTTGAGCTTTTTTGTTATTGATTTTTGGCTTTGCCCAAATAAAACAATTATCACATAAACCAAAAAATAGAGAACTCAGATGTGTCATGTGAAACTGTTGAAGGCTTATCCTCCCTAAGGATACAAAATTCACTATCTTCTATTAACTTTGAAATTGTTCCTTTTTTGGTTTTGTCTTTGGCTTGTGATTATAGGATTCAAGTTTAGGATGTTGTTTTGTTAGGTCACATTAGCTCTATAGTAGTAATTTAGTAACAGAAACTATAAGCAGAAAAACCTGTCATGTCTTGTTTCATCTGCTTCCTAAGCTAACGCTCTTTAACTTTTCCTAGTTCTATCTTCAAGTAGTAGTATTTCTCTAATGTAGCAATTCTCAAACTTTTTGGTCTCAGAACCCATTTGAACTCTTAAAAATTGAGAACCACAAAGAACTTTTGTTTGTGTGGGTATGTTTATTGATATTTACTATATAAGGAGTCAAAGCTGAGAAATTTTTAAAATCTAAGAATACACAGACACACGTCCCATGAGCGGTCAGTGACTGTCATCACTTGTCCTGGCCTCTGGAAGACTCCACTGTGCACTCAGGAGAGTGAAAAAGGCCCAGAATGTCTTTGTACTGTATTATGGAAAATTTTCATCTCACAGATCCTCTGAAGGAGTCAGAGGTCCCCCAGGGCTCCTGGGACACTTTGAGAACTGCTGCCTAGCACGCCCATGGATGTGAATCAAAACCTGTTGAATTTTAGCTGTAGCTTAAGTATAGGTTTGTATTTGTAAAAAAGACATCTACAGCAGAATGTTTACATAGTGATGTACAACTTTAAATAATTTTCAGCATTTGCTGTATATGATGGTTGTGAATATAGATAACATGAGCAGTTATCAGAAAAGTAGAATCTTCCAGTTTAAATTTCTAGGTTTCAGCCTAACTGCCATTGTTATGATATAATCCAGTCAATATGTGCCTAGCTGATTGAAATGTCTACTTAATATTGAACAATTTCCTAAATTGCATTGACTGCCTTGGCCCTGTATTAATCTAAAGAAGTCTAACGGGAGAAGAAAAAGTGAAATTAACATGTTTCTCTGTTAATGCTACACACACACACGCACACGCGCACACGCACACACGCACACACGCACACACGCACACGCACACGCACACGCACACACGCACACACGCACTTGTTGCCATCAGGTCGATTCCGACTCGTAGCGACCTATAGGACAGAGTAGAACTGTCCCATAGGGTTTCCAAGGAGCACCTGGTGGATTTGAACTGCTGACCTTTTGGTTAGCAGCCATAGCTCTTGACCACTAAGCTACGAGAGTTTCCATTAATGCTACAAGTAAGTTAAATTACATAATTTTGTTAGCACTCTGAATAAAGCACCTCTTTGTGACTCAGCCACTAAGTACTCAAGGAAATGTATCTCTTTTCAGAGTTTCTGCTATGGTGCTGGAAAATCGGTTGGTGTGCTGAGACATATAGGGGGTCCTGAGAGAGACTCTCCCTGGGCACTTCACTCAGGTGATAGAAGACGTCAGGAGGAAATTGATTATAGACCCCGTGGTGGAGCAGGTGATGCAGATTTCTATTATAGGGGCCAGATTGGTCCCCGTGAGCAAGGCCCTTATGACAAAGCAGATGAGGGTAGAAGAGATGCTTTGAGAGAGAAAGATGTTCACTTGAGATTTCAGACTGGCAACAAGAGCCCTGAAGTGCTCCGGGCATTTGATACCGCAGAGACACGAGAGCATCCCAAGGTGGTACCCAGTGTAAGTCAGTGACTGTTTATTTGCTGTCCCTTCATACTAGGCCTGAATGCTTCCTATAGAGCTTTGTGGTTACTATTTTCACTCTAAAAGACTTTTACCCTCCATTGTGAATTATATCATTAATGATATAATTAGTCACGCTCTCTCTTCTTTCTGGTCAAAAATTCTCCTCTGAAGAAATGAGATTTAATTTTTTTGTGAAATACTATTTAGCAGTAATTTGTTAGAACAAATAGTGATTCATATGAAACTTCATAAGAAGCCAACATCTGAATATGATTGAAATTCCTCCATTTGAAGAGATCAGAGCAAAGTCGTCCCCGAGGGTCCCGAGCCTGCAGGAGAACCTCTAAAGACTTAGCTGGAGGAAGAGGGGGCTTGGGAGGGATCAGAAACCTCGTTTCCCCAAATCTTTTATGTCATTGCCTGGCTAGACTGTACTTTTTACCTAAAGCATGGGGAGGATACTTTCACCATTATTGGTCATTTAAAGGGACATTTCCCACTTGAGAGAGGAATTTGTGTTGTTTTGCAAAGTTTATGTTGCAACAGTAAACTTTTGAGAAATAGTTATGAGCACCAGAGAACCTAAGAAATTATAGAATCCCTCCCCATGGAGTTCCTTAGAAGAAGAATAAACATATCTACATGCATGTAGAAAAACTTAAGATGTTCCTTATGGCTTTAATAGTTATAGCTATCTCACTCATCTCAAAAATCCTCCAGTGGCTTCCCATCTCCCTTAAGGGAAAGCCAAAGTTACTGCAGCCCACCCCCGTTACCTCACTGAGCTCATCACCTCCTCTTCCCTAGGCTCGCCTACTTCAGCCACAAGGGCCTCCTCACCTTCCTTGAGCTAAAGGCCTTGGCACTTGCTGTTTCCTCTGTCTAGGATGCGGTCCCCCCATATATTCATAAGGCTCATTTCTTCAGGTCTTTCCTCATAGGTCACCTTTCCAGACCACCCTAATTTAAACTGCAGTCTGACCCCTCCCCTCTCCCTCCACTCCTTATCTCTTTTACCTCCTTTTTCTACATAGCACTTATCACAACATATTAAACTATTTATTATACTTTCTTAATTTGTTTGCTGCCCGATTCCCTCCTCAATCTAAATGTGAGTTCCACTGAGGGCAGGCAGATGCTCCTGAGGTATCCCAGCACCTAGAACATAATATATGTTCAATAAATATGTGTTGAGTGGACTCTCACCAGGCAAGAGGAGTTAGCAATACTGGTCACCGGTCCTCTTGACCCCTCCTAAGCTGGGCCACTAGACCACCTAGCACATTCTGTGTCCCTCTCCTCAAGGTAACATCCAGTTCTGTGAGGCTTAATAACATACAGTTACAGTCCAGCTTTAGAACCAGGATTTGAAAAGAGGAGTTTGTTAGAACAGATTTGGATAGAAAAAAACTTGTTTTTTTAATTATTAAACTTGCACATTAAACAAAACAAAATATAATGTTATATTTTATAGCATAAATCACCTGTTTTGGATACAAAGCCAGAGATTGGTGAGATCCCAGGAGAAAGCACTCTGACAGAAGGCAGCCAATCAGCTAAGCCTGTCTCTGGCCAAGAGATGTCAGGGAGTGTGGAAGGTTTACCTGCAGTGGAGGAGGCCCAGCACAGGACTGACGCCCAAGGCAGCCCCAAGGAAGGCAGCCCAGACAGCCCGGCATGCGGAAAGGAGGCTGATGGCGGCCTGTGCGGCTAGAGGAACACGGCCACGGACGACCGCTGTGAGGTCTTCTATGGGTTTTCCGAAGTATACTCTTCACAACTCCCTTAACTCTTCAGTACTAACATTCTGATATTTACTGCAAAGGTGCCACCTTACACATTATTTTTACTGACAATCAGGATTAACAGACGTGTATATAAAGGCTTCCACTTAATTTCATTTTCTCTTTGGTATTAGGGCATATCCCACAAAGTTTTTAAGTGTTCATTTTAGAGCAGGGTCTCATAGAATTTATGTTGTTTAAGATGAACATACGGCATCACTGACTCATGATTAAGGACAGCAGTTTGAGTTAAACCAAAAACCAAACTCGTTGCTGTCTAGTCAATTCCGACTTATAGCGACCCTGTAGGACAGAGTAGGGCTGCCCCATAGGGTTTCCAAGGAGTGCCTGGTGGAGTCAAACTGCCGACCTTTTGGTTAGCAGCCGTAGCTCTTAACCACTGTGCCACCAAGGCTCCAGTTTGAGTTGGGGACATTGAAAAAGAAGTTTTGTTCACAAGCACATATAGGAACCAACTAACCGAAGTGTTTGCTGCCTAGTGGTAGTCCTGTGTCATACCTACTTTTAGGTAACACAGAATTAGTCATACGTTGGGTTCAAATAGTGTTTCCAAAGTGATTAAGTACTCAAAAACAAGTTTTAAAAAGGAAGGTCCGCTGTGGTCACTTTTATGCATTTCAGCATCTTCCTGTTGCCACAGTGAGCATTACCGGCATAGTTGTGTTGAAGCCTCGATTATTTGTCTGTACACTGTGCACAGATCAAGGTGGTTTTTTGTTTCATATCCTATCTTCAGCTCTCAACTCTTGCTGCTGTCACTGGGTCTGCTTCCTTATTGCCCTTTTCACTATAACCTTTGCTAAAGCACAACTGAAGATTACTAGGGTGATTTAGATAACATAGCTTGTTAAATCAGTAATAACAGACTTTGAGAATGGCTCTATTCTTTCACCACCAAATGAAGTACACAGGCTTTATAAGCCCTGTTTTCCTTCCTAGTCAGAATCCCAGCAGTTAAGACTGTTGGATATTACTATATCTTATTTATATTGTAACAAACCATATTGTCTTGGCCAGAGAAGTTCAGATCTTTAGAGTTCTACACACAGAAGAATCCCATAAGAGGGAAAACAGAGAAGTGTTTTACTTAACTGCAAAGACAGGTGAGATAATCAACATTTTTAGTTAGTTTTTCTGATTTTAAAAAGTATTCCTGATTTTAAGCAGTTTATCAGTTTTGCACATTCACTTATCTAGGAAGCAAAGTTCACATACATTCAGGTGTCCTTTGTTTTAACTATATTCACACTAGAAAGTTAACGTTCAACTGCTTACTAAAAATGATACGTTCAGTAATGGTCTTAAAATTTTCATATAGGCATTTGTTTCAGAAAAAAAGATGGATTCAGAGCGGTTGCTTTTTGTTGTTTCTACATGAAATACAGAGTACCCCTTTTTGGCTCCCAAAATTGTTACTTAGTCACCTATAATAACTCAATTTTAGATGGTAATATTATTTTCCAGTTTATATTGCAGACATCTTCAGTACTTCATCAGAAAGGTAATCATTCTTTCAAAAGTTACAAAAGGATTTTATGTTAATAACACTACAGGCATGTTAACAAACTAATGAAAGGAAGCCTGCAGTTTGGAATAGATTAGTGAACACGGGAAGAGTTCAAGAAAAAAATTCAGTGGATATAAAGCATGCGTATAAATCGCTGCATAGAAAGTAATCCTCTCTGGAGACTAAACCTGTTCCCACTGATCCATGAAACACTGCAGAGATGGTAGCTGGCTCCCTAGCTGTGATCTGATTCTGAAGAGAAACGAATGCCTCAAGTCTCAGACTCAAACTGGAAGTGGAGTCAATGCTGCTTGCACTTTTCTCCCATTCCCGACTGCTGCTGATCAGTCCGATATAGATCCCTCCTCCCTTTAACTTAAATAAAATGTCATCTTTGTATCCTTTCATTACACGTATTCAGTTGGGGGTGAAATCTACTTTGACAGCTAGCAAGGCGACATGCTGCTGCTGCTGCTGAGTGATGACAGCAATTCAGGGAAGACTACTAAAGCAACTGCAACTTATCAAGGCCAGTTAGTAACTAGAAAAGAGATAAGGCGTGTTTATTGGCTAGCCAATATTTGTCATTAAAATTAAGGCTTATAGTGATAAGTTTGTAGGAAAATCAGAATGGAGTAGACAGCTTTTAAAAGCAATTTTTAAATGAAATAGATAATGTTAGAATGTTTACAGGGTCTACCAACCACTGTGTACACAAAATAAACACTTATTATTTTTACATTGTGATTTGGTATGTTGTCTTTTATTGAATATTCTTATAAGAAAAAGCCCCATGAAACTTTTTAAAAGGATGCTACTTAGGACATCACATCTTATATCTATTATTTTTTATAAATTATACACATATAATCCAGGTGTTAATGTAGTACTTACGGCAGAATTTCTGTCTGATCTTAGAACCGAGAATCTTTTTTTTTTTGCTGAGCCCTTAATGTGATTCTCGATCATGTAACTGAAAGGGTCTTTTTTTTCCGCATTGACCATCGAGAGAAGTGGTTCTCAGTCCTCTTTGCCCCTGAGAATTGCCTGGAGGACTTCTAGCAAAAACAGAGGTTGGGGCCCCAGATCCCGTGCTAGCTCTGCAGGACAGAAGCAACCAGGGCTGGAGAGTGGGCCAACCTGTTCCAGGTGTGGGCACTTGCATTATGCAGTTCAGCCTCAATCCAGGCCCTGCTGTGTCCCACCACTGCTGTCTGTCTTTTGCTGCACTTAATTTATGCTCTCATGTCCTATTGTGCACCCATATAAACTACCTTCAGTCTCTGGGATAAGGAAGGTGAGGCCTAATGACAACTGAGGTCCTAACCTACATCTCTCATACTAAATTTTTGTGAGTTTTCAATTTATGTAGCCTCGGTTCTTAATGATTATTATTATTATTTAATATTAGGTCCTATGAGTTTGTTTTAGCAGCAGTGTTATGCAAAATAAGGTCCCTGGATGGCACAGTTTGTGCTCAACTACTAAAGGTTGGCGGTTCGAACCCACCCAGCAATGCCATGAAGAAAGGCCTGGTGATCTGCTTCTGTAAAGATTACAGCCAAGAAAACTGTATGGAGTAGTTCTACCCTCTAACAACACATGGGGTCGCCATGTATGTCGGCAATGGGTATATTTTGTTTTTTACATTGCAACAGAAGACACTATCATCTTAAACTATATATTTGTATGTGTGTGTGTATGCACATATATATGTATATGCAGATATATATATATTTTAACAAATAGCCCAAACGTTCTAAAAGAAAAAGTTTATTAAGAGTTTCTTTTATACTGGCTTTTGCCTAAAATGCATTGAAAATATAGATTTTCTTAGGAAAAAAATCTCAGTTTTTTTAATAAGACGTATTTTTTTACATTGGTGAAGTACATTATTTTTACTCAACAGCATAATTTCCCACCACGTCCAGGGTTAAGTTAAAAAAAAAAAAAAAGCCACTGTCAATTACTAAGATTAAAAAAAAAAAAATCTAAAGAGGATTAAATTCTAGTCTAGGATTCATTTAACAAACACTAGATAAAAGAATCTAATGAGCTGCCAAAGAACACAGTCCCAAGAAGTAATTACAAAAGTTGATGCAGCACCTTACAAGAGACCTGGACCCTGAAATAAGGGTGTGTCCAGAGGAATGTTAACTCCCTAATACTGCACTATGGAAGGTTAAAATATTTACACCACTCTAAAAACACTAAGCTGTTACAGTGCTATAAATTCTCCTTTCAAGAAAAAACAGTAATAGATTAAATTTCCCTGCAGTGTTCTGAAACAAAATAAGATTGCTTTAAAAAAAAAAAAAATCCATAGTAACTAGTGGTTTGCTGATTTTTGTTCTGAAGTTTTAAATTCCAACAAAGCATTGCTTTGCAAAAGGTCCTTTAGCCCAAATTCAGCGTCTGTGTCTTGATCTCTTTGTAAAAGAACTCTCTGTTCATCCATTCTTTTTGCCTGAGACCGTAGAATAAGGCTGAAGAAGTCTTCATCTGGTACTGTGGGGCCCTTTGTGGCAGCAGGTGGTGGAGCACATCTTTGATCATCTAATCTGGACCCCTACAGAGTGAAGAGAAGGGGATTAAAACACATACAACTGCAGGGAAGGAAAGCACCAAGCTACATTATGTCTGTCATTCACAACAAGAAAATGTAGCATCGTTAAACATTTCTATTTTTGCCTCTTAGAAATTAGTTTTTAGACCTGAAAGCTAGTAAAAAATTTTTCTTTAAAATGACCTATATAATCAGAAGATAAGTATTAGGTAGAAGTAGAGCCATCGCTTCATGAGCTTAGTAAGTGCATACTATTTTATTTATAATCTGTCAGAATGGAATAATGTGGGATTAATGAAGATACAAGGTCAACTGTGTCGAAGTATGACATTTCAAGACTATAATAATAATAATGAGGTTGCTGTGTGCCATCCAGTCAATTCCAACTCAGAGTAGCACTGCCCCATAGGGTTTCCTAGGCTGTAATCTTTATGGGAGATCGCCAGGTCTTTTCTCCCACAGATCTGCTGGTGGATTCGAACCATCAACCTTTCAGTTAGCAGCCAAGCACTTAACCATTGCACCGCCAGGGCTCCTTATAATAATACCATGGTAGGCACCAACAATATAACTATAAATACTGTCTTTGGCCAGTGGTCAGCAAACTATAACCCACTGCCTGTTTTTGTAAATAGAACACAGCAGTGCTCATTTGTTTATGTTCAGTCTATGGCTGCTTTCCCACTACAATGGCAGAGCTGAGCCATTATGCAGTTCAGCCTCAATCCAGGCCCTGCTGTGTCCCCCCACTGCTGTCTGTGTTTTGCTATACTTACTTTATGCTCTTATATCCATATGGCCTGCAAAGCCTAAAATATTTACTGTCTGTCCCTTTTTGGGAAAAGTTTACCTACACCTGTCTTAGGCAGTTTAATCTGTCAAGGAAATGGCCCAGACTGAATTTTTCCTTTAAACTCTAATCTTACGATTTTTATTTTAGAAATACATCAGAAATGTCATTCATCAAACATGAAATACAAGCACTTAAAAGTCTACAGTTTTAGTTTTTGTACAGTGAGAGCAGGAATGCGCTAGCGGGTGCTTGAGTGCTTACTCACACTGTAGGCACCGGGCTAGACACTTCCATGCAGTTAAACCCACAGCCCTGGGAGGGTACAACGGCTTACTGGCCTCTAGTCAGCCCCCAGCCCCACACCCAGCTCACTTGTCACCATTTCTCCTGTCTTAATTCTTGGTCATTTTAAAGCCCTCACAGCCAAGTCATCCGAAACCTGGCCCTTCAGTTCCTAGACCTTCCTCCTGTCTGGTGTTCTCGTCCTTCTCCCTGCCTCAGCCATTCACTGCCATGATCATGTGCTGGACCCTCAGTTAATAGGACCACCTTTAAAATCATGACTTCAGACATCCTGTGCTGACCACCGCCTCCTATTTTTCTGGATCATGTTCTCTAGTATTCCCTCTTGAATCCATTAGGAGCACGACCACCTTTCACATTCACACCTCACTTCCTTCTCACAGACTAGATTCAGAAGTGCATTATTAAAATCACTCCCTGGCATATGCCTTAACTTTTCTCTCTCCTTCAACCCCATTCTGGCAAATTCCCAACCTTGATTAAATCCATCCCTCTGCCTACTGCCTCCAGCCGACTACGACAAGAAAATACACAGCTGCATTGATTGGCCTTCATATATGTGAGCATATGGGGCCTCAGCTCGGCTCAGCAATCCTATTACTTACTTTCAGTTTCTCAAAGGCAACTATTTTCTGCTCCTTTTCTTCTCAAATTTACAGTGCTTCCAACCCCAAGCACACATAATGACTCTACTGTCTCCAGTGAGAAAATAAAAGCAACCATAAGGGAATTCCTGCTTGCTCCCACTCCAAATCTGTTCGCATACATTCTGCTTTCCCTCTCAATCAAAAACTTCCTCCACTCTCCCTTGCTCTCCTGCATCATTGGTTCCTCTTGCTACTTGGTGATTTCCATCTGTAGGCATGCTATGTTATCTCCCCAAATAAGAAATCTACCCTTACCTTATATCCCTCTCTAGCTAATGATCCATTTTTTTGCTTCCCACTTTCTCGACCTACTCAATCCGTTGTTCCCCACCAAGTCACTGACAGCATCTTTCAAAATCACCAACACGCTCCATGTTGCCAAATCCAGTAGCTCAGTCATCATCTTACTCGCTCTCTCAGCACCATTTGACATAGTTGATCACTCTCTAAAACACTTTCTTCACTTGGCTTCCAATACACCACCCTCTCCAAGTTTCCTTCCAACTCTTCTGGCAGCTTGCTGCTTTGCTGGCTCATCTTCCTCTCCAAGTAGTAGATGCTGGCGTGCCCAGGGTTGAGTCATGAACCATTCCCTTTTCCTTCTCTACTTCTGTTCCTGGTGATCTTATCCCAAGGCTTTAATAATAGCTATATGTTGATGACTCCCAAATTTACTTCTCCTTTGGACTCCAGATTTTTATATCCAATTGCCTACTCAACATCTCCACTTGAATGTCTAATAGGTATCCCAAATCTAACCCATCTAAAATGGAACTCTTGATTGTTCTCCCTCAACTTGTTTCTCTTGTAGTCTCCATCTCACTAAATGGCCCATTATCAACCCAGTCATTCATGCCAAAAAGGTAGGAGTCATTCTAATTCTCTCTTTCCTTCACATCCTCCATCCAATTTATTAACATATCTTGCTACCATAACTTCAAAATAACCCTATTTTGAATGGTACCGTTTCCGCTTGTGTTGGCAGAAGGGCACACACTCAATTCCTGGGCTTGAACTTCAGTCGCATCCTTAAATCTTACCTTGGCAGTAAGACACTTTTCCTCACTCACAACTTCAACTTTTGAAACTAAGCTCTGTATCACCAACACCTTCATATTAGAGTTCTTGCTCACTGACTGCACATGGGATGGGACATGGCCCAACCTGGGAGGACCTGGTGGATGTGGAGAGTTTGGTTGATACTGGTTCATGTATATGGTACAGATGTGATTTGGCATTCAAGTCTCCCCCGCTCCCCCACCCAGGGTTTGATTTTTCCCCGGGGATTTGAGTCACAGCAAGCTGTGTGTGAACCTGAGTTTGATGGTGGCACATTAATAGATTGCTAAAGTTCTGACTCTGCTTGTACTTGAACTTTAGCTCTAACCCCTTACCTTCATGGTAGGTTAGGATTTTAACTACTACTTTGTTAACTTTGGAGAAATGGTGCCACTCAAAAGCAACTTCCTAGCTTTAGGAGTAACTCTAGTTAACTTTCTAGTTAAATCAAAAGATGCATTGCATTGGGCAAATCTCCTGCAAAAGACCTCTTTAAAGTGTTGAAAAGCAAAGATGTCACCTTCAAGACTAAGGTGCACCTGACCCAAGCCATGGTATTTTCAATTGCATCATATGCATATGAAAGCTGGACATAAATAAGGAAAACCGAAGAATTGACGCCTTTGAATTGTGGTGTTGTAGAAGAATACTGAATATACCATGGGCTGCCAAAAAAATGAACAAATCTGTTTTGGAAGAAGTACAACCAGAATGCTCCTTAGAAGCAAGGATGGCAAGACTACGTCTCACATACTTTGAACATGTCAGGAGGGATCAGTCCCTGTAGAAGGACATCATGCTTGGTAAAGTACAGGGTCAGCGAAAAAGAGGAAGACCCTCGACGAGATGGACTGACGGAGTGGCTGCAACAATGTGCTCAAGCATAACAACGATTGTGAGCATGGTGCAGGACTGGGCAGTGTTTCGTTCTGTTGTACATAGGGTCGCTATGAGTCAGAACCGACTTGACGGCACCTAACAACAAGTTAACTTGCTGGTTCTGGTGCCTTGTTTTAGGATGCAACTAGATTCTCAGCTCGAATGTCCTCTTCTAGAGAGTGAATTACAGTTATCCAACTGTTAAAAAAGAAACCCTTACGCTGACTGGGGCCATTTCTTCCTGGGTGTCTATCTAGGGCTCTGCACTAGGGACAGTTCTTTGGGTGGATCCTGTAAGTTGAGAGAACCTCAAGTTTCCAAGGTTAGATTTATATCTCTAATCTGGCAGACCAAAATATCACAGCTGGCACTGGCACATATCCCAATTCAACAAATTAAATTCAGAGGACCAAGGGAGGTGTGTAGGGGGAGGTACTTAAAAAAAAAAAAAAAAAAAAACTGTTAACTTTTCAGAATATTTCTGAAGACTTGTAAGATGAGGATCAGGAAGGAAAAGGACTATTTTGTGAGTTCAAGTGCCTAAATCTTGTCTACCTATCACTTTAAAAAAAATAGTTTAAACTGAAGAAAATGCTTGGAGTTTTGCCTGGGCTAGTGTGAGTTGGTGCAAATCATCATGTGTTTGCATAGGAAGGTGAGAAGATCATCCACTAAAGAGGAAGTAGTTAACAAACAGGGATCTGTTGGCTTTTTAAATTTTTTAAATATTCAAGTTCTTGTTTTTTTAATGGATAAAACTTCACTTAATTTTCTAAAGCAGCTATTGGTTTCCAAATTAATATAGATGAAAAAGTAAGACACTCAGACTAAATTAGAAGCATTTTCATCATTCTATATTTTTGTATATTAATTTCTTAGCAGTGCCTGAGATGTATGGGGTTCCTCTTTGTCACTGGCCACTAACCCTCTTACTTGATGCCAGTGAAATCACTTGTCAATGCAAAATGTGTTAGAACTTGATGAAATAAAGCTTTGAGTTTGAGAAATGTATTTAAAAACAAAAACCAAAACCCTATTCTGATTCCTTCTCATTACCACTACTATACCCTAGTCCAGGCCACCAATATCTTGGATTACTATTATTATTACTAGCTCCCCAACTGGTTTTCCTGCTACCCCGCTTGCCATGCTACATTCTTCCAACAGTAGCCAGGATGACCTTTTAAAATGTAAAAATGCTATGTCACTTGCTTGCTCAGAACCTACGAGTGTCTTCCTATGACATTTACAACACAAGCCCATGTTGTAAGACCGTGGCCTACAAGAGCCTACATGATCTAGACTCTGATTACTTCTCCATCTTCGTCTCCTACCACTCTCCCTACCCCTTACTCCATGCCAGTCACACCGGCTGCCCTACCATTCCTTGAACTTGCTAAGCTGTTATATCCAAGAGGGGACTTGCTGTCTCCTATGCATGGTATGCTTTCTTACTACATATTCACAAAGCTGAGCCCTTCACGTCATTTAGGTTTCTGTTCAAATGTCACTCCAGAAAGGTCTTCCCTAAACAGCCTATCCAAAACAGATGCTCCACAACCACCACCACCCCTGGTTACCCACTATGGTGTGATGGATTGCTTCCGTGTGGCCTTTCTAGCCATGGTCTTGTAACTACCACTCAAGCGATTGGGCGGGACTGTGCAGATATGGTAACTGTGGCCCATCAAAGGGACTGGTCAGTTTTGCCATCCTGCTGGGTTTGAAATGAGTGACCCCAGAGGCGGGAAAGAGAAGATTCCACCACCACCAAGGAAGAAGAGACACGCAGGAGATGGTGCAGTGGGCTTCGTGGCCCGTGGACAAGAAACCTGAGTGCCTCTGGGCAGAGGCCGACGGCCAGGGAGAGGTGTGCCTGTGAGCACGACTGCGAAGAGGCTGTCCTGATGGCAGAACTGTATCCTTGAGTGTTCCTGAGCCTGAACTGTAACCTGTTACTTCCCTAATAAAACCCATAATCATGAGTATGGTCTGTGAGTTCTGCGTGGCCACTGCAATGAATTATCAAACCCAGCAGAGAAGTAGAGAGTGCTGTGGGAGGGATGGTTGGTGTGATAGTTGGTAAAGATGGTGGAGAAAGGAGGCATGTCGGATGTCCGCCTCACAGGAAATCAGCCTTGGGCTGTTGATCTTGATTCTCATTCCTCCTTGTGAAGTTAGAGGAGGTCAGATGCCACCTCCACGCCACTTTTACACCCACTGTCCCTTTAACCTGCTTTATTTTTCTTTATAGTAAGTATTGTTACCTGATATATACTATATATAAACTTGTTCAACTGTCTCTCCTACTAAAATGCAGGCTCCTTTAAAATGCAAGTATATCCCTGATGCCTAGAATAGTACATGGAATATAATAGGTGTTCAAAAACTTTTTGTTTAACAAATTTTTGTTGTTGAATGAATGGGAGGCAGGTGCCACCTATCATTTCATCTTTTTTATGAATGAGGAAACAGAGAAGTAGGGTCAGGCTGAGGAAATGTCACTTTTTAGTGACAATAAGCTTTGTTATTCTCATGGTACTGTGTCCAAGCCATCTCAGATAGTCCTTTGCCACTATGGTTAATAATTATTAAAATAGTTAAAATAAGGAAGCTATCTCAATATGTACATTTCTCCAAAACAGTAAACCTGACAGAGAGACCCTCTGCAGTTTAATCACTGGCCACTTTTGCTGCTACCTCCTAAAACTTAGGAAAGCACAGCTCTTCTCTAGGTTTCATCCCATAGCTCAGACGGAGTCATCGGCAGCCTCTCACCTCACCGCCCAAAAGGAATACAAAATAAGGAGAAGCTATAACAAGGGACCTTGAAATAACAACTGACTGCCTGCCTAATACCAAGTGAGCCCTTTATAACCTCAATAACAAAGAACTATAATAATCCCCAAACTCTCAATGGCGTCTGAGCTATATAAAAACCAACCAAACCTGTTGCCATCGAGTCGATTCTGACTCAGAGCAACCCTACAGGACAGTGTAGAATTTCCCCACAGGGTTTCCAAAGAGTGGCTGGTGGATTCAAACTGCTGACCTTCTTTTTTGGTTAGCGGCCAAATGCCTAACCATTGGGCCACCAGGGCTCCGAGCTATATATGGAAGGAAAAAAATATGCAGACATACTTGACATTTTACAAGGATGTCAAAGAAGTCTTCATCAGGCTCTTTATTGTCATTAGTTATCAGGTGGTCCAGCACGGACTGCTTATTGTTTTGCTTCAGATGAAGCCCTGGCAAATTACTGAAACTGGCCCTCTGGTCATCCAGACGGCGGCTCTGTGAGCTGGCAAGAAGATCCAAAAATTCATCTGTGTTGGGGGACATTACAGAAACAGATGGTGCTATGAAGAAATAGAAGGAAAAAAAATCCAAAATATCATTACAAAAGTATTTAAGCATATTTGTTATATACATATAGTTATTTTCTGCCTGTTTAGCCCCAACACCTGCTCTGTCCTCTTGTTTTAGCTCTGTCATGGACAGTCACTTACAGGCCGGGGGTTGACTAGATGGTCATGTTTTTTTGAGGGGGTAGGGTGGAAGAAGAATGAATCTCAGAGTACTTCAAATGATCCACTTGGAAGTTACTCAGATTTGACTATATAGTTCTCTTTATCTAGTGCCCACCCAAAATGAAGTTTTACAAGATACGAGGTTAAATGTGGAAAGGTGAATAAACTGTTTTTCTTACATAGTTTCTTAGACTAGGGTGAACGGAATAGCGTTTGTAATTCCATGTCCTGGATAGGAATTATTTAATGAGCTAAACTTAGAGTTAAATAATGCTAACAAGTCTTGGTCTGTGGTAGAGGAAGTCTATTGGTAGCTGAAATAGAAAAATATATCAAGTGACCTGTTTTAGATCTTTCTACGGATCATGTAGGTCTGAGCTGACTCTAAGGCTCAAGTGTTGTTGTTAGTTATCGTTGATCCAACTCACGGCAACCCCATGTGTTACAGAGTAGAACTGCTCCATAGGGTTTATTTGGCTATAGTCTTAATGGAAGCAGATTGCCAGGCCTTTCCTCCTCAGTGCTGCTGGGTATGTTTGAACCGCCAACCTTTAGGTTAGTAGTTGAGTGCAAATCGTTTGCAGCACCTAGAGACCTTAAGGCTCAGGTAGCATTAGCAGTAATTCTTCAGTCCGTCTTGGCTTTTCTTTTTTAATTCAGATATGAAGCATTCACATTTTACCTACAATTATAAAGTACATGTAATGATCACTTTTTTAAATTCAGAGATACCTGGATTCAGGCTCATTTATTGTATCTCTTCTGATGAGATGTAAATTCTCAGAGAAAAATCACAAAATCATCAAAGGGAACTATTAAAATTAAGGGAGAGGCACAGATAACTCACTTTTTAGCATCATTTTGTGGGGAGTGGAAGAAGTTGTTGTCGAAGCTGTTCGATAGTTCTTTTCTTGAAAGCAACACCTTTGATCATCCATTCTATTGCTTTGAAATTGGCTTAATAAGTCAAAGAACGCTTCATCTCCAATAGTATCTGCACTGATTTTCTAAAATATTGAGAGAAAATATTTAAGCATTATCCTTAGATCACCAATGTAACAACATTATGATTCACTCAAACGCAAAAGGAAAGGATGAAAATAAAAAATTTACATTTTATTTTTACAAAGAATACTACAAGATGACAACACTGGTAATAAAAAGAACAAGTTTCATTTCAACCCAAGTAACAAAAAGCATTTCTTGTAATTTTAGTTTTTAATTTCTATATTTTTAAGGCTAAAGAAACTTACCTCAGTCTCAGGGGAACTGCTACACTAACGACTCACGAATTATACAGCTATTAGCAATACGGGCACGTGTCTCAGGTTGAAAGTTCAGTGCTAAGATTCTACAACAAGGAAATTCAAATAAGCTGATCTTTGTAAGAACTGTTAAACTCAGTATGAAAGCAAGTGTATTTTCCTAGCATAGTGATTTCCAAGACCTTTTATTATAAAGATTTGAAGATCCAGAAAAATACAAACTTCAAATAAATGAATATGGGGAAGGGAGGGAATAACCTGTCATATTTTATATGTAAAGATTCAAAACTAAAGTGGTGAATACAATGTTTAATACAAGCCAATCTTTTTCATAATGACACAAGTATTATAATAGGTGTATATATATATATATATGTAGGTGTATATATACATACATATGTGTGTGTATATATACATATATGTATATATGTATACATACACAAATATTATGGGATAAAGAAAGCTGAGCAAAGCTTAATGGAATTGTGGGACACCACTAACTGAACCAATATACACGGAAATGTCAGAAAAAGAGAGAAAGGAACAGAAAGAAAACTTTCCAAATTTGATGAAGAACATAAATCTACACATATATGAAGCTCAACAAACTCCTAGTATAAATTCAAAAAGATCCACACCAAGACACATTATAATCAAACTCTTGAAATTCAAAGATAAAGAGAGAATCCTGAGAGCAGCCAGAGAGAATGAAATGCCACATACAAAAGATGCTAAAAAAGATGAAGGGCTGACTGCTCCTCAGAAACCCGGGAGCCCAGAAGGCAGTGGGTGACATATGGAAAGGGCTGAAAGAAAAAACCCGTTAACCAAGAATTGTATGTCCTGAAAAACTGTTTTTCAAGAACGAGGGTGAAATTAAAATATTCCCAGATAAACAAATGCTGAGGGAGTCTGTGAAGACTAGAGCTGCACTACAAGAAACACTAAACGGAGTTCTTCAGATGGAACTGAAAGCATACTAGATGATAACTCAGACATCTGTAGAAAAGATCGCCAATAAAGGTAATTTCATGGCAAAATAAAAGAGCCGGTTTTATGGTATTTTTGGTTTGTAACTTTAGCAGTATGTCCTACATGATTTCAAAAGACAAACACATAAAACATAATTATAAATTCATGCTATTGGGCATATAATGTATAAAGATGTAACTTACGATATCTACATAGAGAGGTGAAGGAGCAGTGTAGGAATAGTTTTTGTATCGTACTGAACTTATGTTGGTATCAATTTAAACTAGGTTGTTATAAATTTAAGATGTTAAATGTAATCCCCATGGTAACCACAAAGAAAATATCTAAAAAAGTATACACAAAAGGAAAGGAGAAGGAATCAAAATGGTCCACTATGAAAACTCAACTAAACACAAATGATGGCAGTATTGGAGGAATGAGGGACAAAGAAGGTATAAGACACGTAAAAAACAAATAGCAAAATGGCGTAAGTCCTTACTTATCAGTAATTACCTTAAATGTAAATTGATTAAACTCTCCAATCAAAAGGCAGAGAGTGGAAGAATGGATAAAAACCATGATCCATATATAAGCTACCTACAGGGAACACATCTTAGGCCTAAAGACACAAATAGGCTGAAAGTAAAAGGATGGAGAAAAATATTCCATGCAAAAAATAACCAAAAGAGAGATGGGGTGGCCATATTAATATCAGACAAAACAGACTTTTAAGTCAAAATCTGTTATAAGAGACAAAGAACATTATTTAGTGATAAAAGGATCAATTTGATTTAACAATTCTAAATATATATGCACCTAACAGCAGAGTCCCAAAATATATGATACAAACACTGACAGAATTAAAGGGAGTAACAGATAGTTCTACAGTAACACTTGGAGACTTCAATATCACCATTTTCAATAATGGAAAGAACATCTAGAAAGACGATCAGTAAGGAAATAGAGAATTTGAACAACACTATAAACCAGCTGCTAACCAAAAGGCTGGCAGTTCGAATCCACCAGCTGCTCCTCAGAAACCCTATGCGGCAGTTCTACTCTGTCCTCTAGGGTCACTATGAGTTGGAATCAACTCAATGGCAACTGATTTTTTTTTTTTTTTTTTTTTGATTGATAAACCAGCTGGTACAAATAGTTAACAAGCTTAGCTGCTAACCAAAAGGCTGGAGGTTCAAGTCCACCCAGAGGTGCTTTGGAAGAAAGGCCTTGCAATCTACTTCCAAAAAATTAAGCCATCGAAAAATCCTGCAGAGTTCTACTCTGACACACATGGGGTCGCCATGAGTCAGAACTGACTCAATGACAATTGGAAAAAAAAAAAAACTGGCTGGACCTAACAGACATATACAGCACACTCCACCTAACAACAGCACAATACATATTCTTCTCCAGTGCACGTGGATCATTCTCCAGGATAGACCACATGCTAGGTCACAAAATAAGTCTCAATAAATGTAAAAAGACTGAAATCATACAAAATATCTTCTCCAACCACAATGGATTGAAACTAGAAATTAATAACAGAATGAAAACTGAAAAATACACAAATATGTGGGAATTAAACAACACACTATTAAACAACCAATGAGTCAAGGAAGAAATCAAGAGAGGAATCAGAAAATACTTTAGAGTCAAATGAAAATGAAAGCACAACTTACGCGAAGGCAGTATGAGAGGGAAATTTGTAGCAATAAACACCTATGTTAAAAAACAAGAAAGATCTCAAATCAATAATCTAACTTTTAACTTGAGGAACTAGAAAAAGAAGAGCAAATAAGCCCAAAGCTACCAGAAGGAATAAAATAACAAAGATCAGAGCAGAAATAAATGCGACTAGAAAAACAATAGAGAGAATCAGTGAAACCAGGAGTTGTTTTTTTGAAAATATAAATAAAATTGACAAACCTTTAGCTAGTCTGACGAAGAAAAAGAGAGGATGTAAGTATCCAAATTCAGAAATGTAAGTGGGGACATTACAACCGACCCTACAGAAATAAAAAGGATCATAAGAGAATACTACAAACAACATACTATGTACTCCAACAAATTAGATAACTGATGAAACTGACAAATTTCTAGAAACACATACACTGCCTAAATTGACTCAAGAATAGAAAATCTCAACAGACCCATAACAAGTGAGAGACTGAATCAGTAATCAAAAAACTTCCAACAATAACAACAACAAAAAAGCGCTGCACAAGACGGCTTCACCAGGGAATTCTACCAAACATTTATAGAAGTAACCCCAATCCTTCTTAAACTCTTGCAAAAAATAGAAGAGGAGGGAACACTTCCTAACTCATTCTATGAGGCTAGCGTTACCAAAGCCAGACTACATTCCCTTATGAATACAGATTTAAAAAATCTTCAACAAAATACTGGCAAACTACATCCAACAGCATATTAAAAATGTTATACACCATGATCAAGTGGGATTTATCCCGGGAATGCAAGAGTGGTTCAACATTAAACAATCAATCTGTAATATACCATATTAATAGAACAAAGAAAAAGTACCACATGATTATCTCAATCAAAGCAGAAAAGGCATTTGACAAAATCAAATACCCTCTCGTGATAAAAACACTGAACAAACTAGGAATAGAAGGGAAATTCCTCAATATGATAAAATGCAGTGAAATGAACAGTAGTGTTTTTGCAAACAACAGTGACTTAAAACACAAAGGGATGATTGCTGTCCAAAACAGTGGGCAACTTATCTATTAGTAGAATAATTACTGTTTCTAGCTTTGAAGAAGATAGAAAAAAACGGAAATACGGAAGACTTCTTTGCATAACAAAGATCTTTTATATTAAATGTCTAGTATAAATTGTAAAACTATAAAAAATTCAGTATGAATACAATAAAACTAAAATTTAGATACTCAAAACGAAACACAATATTCAAAAACTGATTTTAAACATACCCTCTGAGAATTGGGAATTCGGTGGTCTATGGAATTACTGGCATCTTGAAGAACTTTCGTGGAAGAATTAGTCTTATATTTTTTTCCCTTCAGTCTGTTAACAAACAGTAGCTTTGCAGAAGGTTTGGCAATAAGAGGTTTTTGTTTAGCAAGAATTTCACTGTTCCAGTTCTGTACCTACAGAATTAAAAACACAAATGGAAAGCAGGAGATGAAAAAAGCCCAAAGCACCCCTGATTTCCTAAAATATTAACCTGCCATCTTCACTCATTTGGGGGAAAGGGATATCTTAATAAATCCTCTTTGCCAGTATATTTCACTATTTTCAATAGATGATGCCAAATGTGTACTGTGGATTTCTCATTATCAAAACGTTAAAATGGTGACCTTTTAGAACCTAAGAATAAAGAAAAGAAAGTTTGCCAAAATCCTATAGAAATAAAATTTGACTATTTAGAAATACTAAATAGACAATAGATAAGTGGTATCTTGGGTGAAGGGTGAGAGAGTACACAGTACAGGAGAAACTAGCACAACTTGTACAAGGAAAGGTATGGAAGCTCCACAGACACATCCAAACTCCCTGAAGGACTGAATTGCTGGGCGGAGGGCTGTGGGGACCATGGTCTCGGGGAACATCTAGCTCAATTGGCATGACACTGTTTATAAAGACAATGCTCTACATT